ACAAACCTCATCGCCCACCACCACCATCGCTGTCCTCGTCGTCACTTTTTTATTCGCCTCGTCCTCCTTTCATCTTAATAAACGACAAATAAAAGGAAATTCGAGACTGACATTGTTCTGATTTGACTATTTAATCTCCGCTGAACAATTCCCCAACAAACTCTGCCAATCAAACTAAAAGAAATAAAACAAGACACCCACTCTCATTATAAAATCTATACTTACATAAGCATTTGCACCTATAAATAGCATACATACATACATATTTCGTGACGCAGTCACCCTTTATTCACCCGGAAGATCGTGTCCTCCACTAACCAAATTTTTCAAAATTATTGTCGCAAGCAGATCAAAAAATTAAACCAGTAGTTGCACATTATCTATTTGAATTAGGGGATGAGATTAACTGACTAAATATCTATCTGCACCGACCATTGTGTAAAATATTGTACAATGTCTGTGAGCTGGCTCAATTCCGTTGTCTCTTTTTGTTCCCGACCGTGTAATGAAAGTTTGCAACAATGGGAGATGAGATGATGTTGAGCTTCGATCCTCTCTTTATTTTGTTTTACTCGGTGTGCTCTTTCAGGGTGAAATAAATTCAACGAGAACAAGATCCCTTGGCGGATCATGCTACAAAATACATCACGTGGAATTACTTACACAGATCGCCCAGTTCACTAGGAAAAGAAATCAGTGGGGGGCTTGGTGATAGGATTAGCGGTGCAAAATAACATTTTTTCTTCTCTCGCTAAAATAGGATCATCCATATAGTAGCCACCCCACCGTTCAATTGTTGTAAATACACGGTTGGGGAGGGTGAGAAGGTAGAAATGCTGAAAGAGCGAGAGAGAGATGCCTATTAAATTAGAACGAAGGACAAAGCTACTCTTCTAGATACTTGGGAAAATTGCTCCCGTTCTACACTGACTGAGATTGGGTTGGTTGGTTGGCTGATGGAGAAAACCAATTGGATGTGGCAACTTTCATTCGCTCCTAATTATACATTTTACGCCTCACTTGCTCCTCTTCTTCCTTTTATAACACACCGAATTATCAAAGGTCCCTCGAGAGAGAGATGGCTCAAATTCGCCGATTTTTTCTCCATCTTGCACCCAGCATCGTGGCACAGACTATGATGAGCCACTAGCCAATACACCCTCAAGAAGTCAACGCCTATTGAAAACAGCTATGATTCAAACCACAGTAAAATACTGATTGATACCTTAAAAATTATCAGTTTTTAATGGCCTAAATGTTAATACATGTACTAAATAAATGAAAATAATAAGTATGCATTTATGAGATGGGTGGTAGTTTAGGATTCCAATCTGAACAGTAAACCAACCACCAACCAGTTTCTTATTGTTCTTCGAATCGAAACATTTTCCACCAAGTTTTGCTGCTTGTAAAGCATGACTTGTCTGAACTTTGTCCTAACACGGCTTCATTTCATTGTAGTCGTCCAACCAAATTGAAGAGTCAGCCACGTAGAAAATAACCTATCACATTTTCACCCCAACAACCACATTAAGTCGTGGAGAGTGTAAGTTGGGAGGAAATCTGTGCGGCGATAATAAGGCCATTTGAAGTCATAGTTCTTGAAGCGACGAGTCAAAGTCATTTACAACCAAGAACAACCCTCTTCCTTCTCTGCGTCTCAACTTAGACGTCGGATTGGACGTAGATTGGACGGAATTGCATTTGAAGAAAAGTACAACAAATAGAGAGACACGAAGCTTATTGAGAGGAGAAAGTGAGAGAGGGTGGAGACGTGAGAGTAACATGGACTGACTAGTCCTCCTGCTAAGTAAGTCGCAAGACAAAACGGTTTCAGACCCGTCGTCTCAAGCCGTGCATGAAGAGTTGAGGAGTGCCAAGAGAAAGAGAATAATGTGGGATCAGATACTTTCCATGTTGAGAAGTCAATCCCGATGTAAGTTTTGAGAAAATCCCTGCAGATCACTATCCAATCTTTCTCGCCTCATCCTATCAATATCCATCCATCCCATTGTCTTTCCCACCCTGCCGGATTATTACCGTCGCCACTACTGCCTCCTTACTCCAACCAACCAACCACTACTCCTACGTATTTACTAATGCTACATACACTGCTTGCCTTCGTCGTGGTAGTGGAGCCTTGACAGTCAATCCGATCCGAAAACGTGCAAAAGTTGAAAGTAGAAGAAGTCTACTTTTCATCCAATCTCACAAAATTCATTCGGTTCACGAAATCTCATTTTCTACACCCAACTTCATTTCACACTCTACACACCTTAGATCACGTTCAGTCGTAGGAAATGAAATGTCGCATCCATCTCTGGGTTTGAATTATTCATTCAATCACAACCACGCCACCATAACTCGCGTAAATAGAGACCATTTCTTCTTTCATCATAATATTTAAGCAGGAGGAGGATGGCCCCCACTCGCCACTCTATTCTATTCTGGATTATCTACCCATTGTGTAAGCCAATTTTGGAAAGTGAGACGTTGGCCGAGCTTGGGAACGGAGTGAAGATGATATTAATCAGCTTATGTATATATGGATGTGCCCACCTTGTACGCCATCATTCAATCATGTGTATCATCCTCCATTGCGTGTCCAGTTCAGGAGGACCATTATTAAATACAAACTTTTCCTACTTCTTCCTCACCTCAATCTCTTTTCACCTGACGGTCGTAAAGTCGCATTGATCCGCACCACCCACCCACCGCTCAATCAGACCTCCTGCTTATTAATCTCTTCCCGTGAACCAAATTTTCCTAGAAATATGTACGAATGTAGGTGCGTGACAATGTCTTAATTAATCTTGCTCTTCTTGGTTAACTTTAAGTCGCATGGGACTAAATCATCAGTAGGGAGTAGTCATTTGAGACGAATAATAAATAGAACAATGTTGCATCTCCGGTTCAGGTATCATGAAGCAACGCTAGGACAAAAAGATGAACATAAATCGGTATTTCACACAAAGGCCACAACATCACAAGTTACCGGGTGGGTAGGTTAAAAGTATCAAAATATCGAGTTCCATTTCTAAGTAATTATCCCAAAAACACGCTTCCATTCTTGCTTCCCTTCCACATGTTGATGAGATAAGATCCACTTTCTGTACTTTTTTTCTCTTTTTGCTCTCAAATCACGTCAGAGGTTTGTTTGCTCAGTTACACACATTTCACATTGTTTGTCACTACTTACATAATCCTCGAATGGCAAACGAGCCGACTCTTTAGGAGGAGCAGCAGCCTCTCAAAAACCTTTTCTTTAAAACTTGCATCAATTCCATTCCATTGTTTGTTCTTTTGATGTGCGTGCGCGGTGAGATTCCACTTTTCTTAAATGTCAATACATACTTGAAATGGACCCAATGAGATGTGTGCATGTCATTATGTGTTGGACAAACATTTTGAACTACTTTGCGGATTACACACCCTTTGCTTTTGCTGCTGCTTCTTCTCTGCACTCTCAAATCTCATAATCTCTCCAAACAAACAGACCTTATCTCAAAAAACGCGTGAACCTATTCTTATTTTCTCATCTGTTTATTATCCTTGCTTTTGGGGTGAAACACTTATTGTTGAGTAATCGGCGATTAGTCGTAGATACATATTTATTTCTCCATCGTCTAAAATGCCGATACGTAAACAAACAAGTAGATAAATCCCACATTCCTGACTCGCTCTCGAAATCCATTAAGCTAGAAAACCTGGAGATAAAAAAAGAGACGAAGAAGAAAAACAAGATGAAAGGATTGAAACAATGGGGAAAGTTTGCTTTCAAGTTATTAATACCATTTTCGCGGAAGGAAGAAGAAGCCTGTAGAAAGAACTTGTATTATATTCTACGGATGATGGTGATGACGGCACTAAAGGAAAAGTTGGAATGTTGTTGAGTGAGTTGTTATTAGTGTTGGGTCGTTGCTGGGTGTGGTATTTCATATTTCTGCTTTTTTTGGAGGTCCATGAGGTGACATTATTATTACTCTCTTTCTTTTTCCACCACAATTCCCCATGTGCCGAGAAAAGATGAGATTTTTTGTCTTGAGCTATCCAATAAAAGTGGGCCCCATTAGGAAAGGATTGTGCTCTCTCTCTAAATCGGGATGTAACACCAGAGGCCAAGTATGTACACAAGGAGTGTGAGGTGTGGATGTAAATAATGGGAGAGTGAGCATTATAAATATAATTCAACGTAATGAGTCGGCCTGCGAGAGAGTTGAGAGGCAATTTCAGGAGCTCGAGAAGCCCAATAAGTTCCATTTAATCGGCCAAGCGTTTACTCAATTCTCGCAGGAATCATGAAGCTAATGGATCCGACATGTCAAAATATAATGTGGTCGCATCCTCCCTCTTCTTTCTCCAAAAACCACCATCATCCAACCCAGCACAGTGGAACTAGCAAATTAATGGAGAAACAAATAATGCGGTGATTTCCGGATTTCTTCTCGCTTTCTTTGCAGGTGTTGTTGTTTTTACCGTCAAGACGATCGCTAAAAGTATTCCCACCAATTACATAATTTAATCTAAATTGCGACTACGACGACGACGGTGGAGCGAAATTTTGAGAAAAAAATGCAAAGTTATTAGATCTATAGAAAGTTGTACATGGGTGTCTAGTTCAGTCGAAGGGTTTTTGTGAAACCTTTCCTTAGGCTGTGTGTGAGTTTTAGTCCTTTTGCATCAAAAACCGAAACCGTCCCCTCTCCTCGAATAAGAGACAACCACGACGTGCCAGATTATCACTCGCTGAGCTGCCCAGCGTCACCTTGCCATGAAATGAAGTGGTTATCTTCTACTTCTCATTAATATTATTTATGCTGCAATTTTTTTTATAAAAAACAGGAAATCATAAGTATAAAAATCTACCAAACTAGTTTGCACTAAATTAATTCCCCGATTACTTAAACTCGATGTTTAATCTTATTTCCAATACTACGAAATTGCATAGCCAATTGCTACAAATATGATGACATAATAATGAATGGCATAAAAAGACGGTGTTGTTGTGGAGGAGCGACTTTATTTTCTATTTCATTCCTTTGTACAATTCATCTTAGTAAACATAATATTCGTAGGTAATTGAGAAAGAGAGAGAGAGAGAGAGAGAGAGAGAGGAGCATGTATGCTCAAAACAATGACTTCCTGACTTATAACAAATAATCATATTATTAAATACTTCATAGGGCTTGCTCGCATCCTCCTGTCCCAGCAGGAATTTTCGCATACAGACAGAATTATCGAATCGTTTTAAGTGGAATAATGTATTTCAGACTCTTATACGGCCCCACCACCTGTGAAATTAGTGTCATGTATTGCGGTTATTATTTTTAATTGGAATATAAATTCAGTTATTGCGTAAGTTTAATTAGACTAACCTGTGTATCTGGAATAAGACGGGCCAAGTTGCCAGTTGTACGAGTCTTCTTGCGGAAGGTCGTAGGGTGATTTCCCAAAATTCTGATTACTCGAGGGAGGTCGTGCCTGCCACTCTTGGCCAGGAGCCGATGGTGGGTGGTATTGTTCAGTAGGTTCGTGTTGTTGATACGGTCCTGTGGAAATTTAAAACTCTATATTTTAGTATAATAACTAAGGATTGGAAGAATGGATACCAATGTAAAATTTAGTTACCTATCCGGTAGGGGACAGGTGGCATATTAGAAGACATCATTTGCATTGGCGATAAAGACATATTGTTTAATCTATCAGTCGTGACTTGCAGCGGGGACTGCTGTTTGGGGAACATTTCCCATGACGACATGTCTGACGTTGCATGGGGTTGAATAGAACCGTGCATCGGATTGCCAAACTCTTCCTTGGTCAGACGACGACTTTGCAAGTTAACTCCAGAGAAAGCATTCCAAGAGCCTTTATCTGTATCAGTCGGCAGATGTGCTGCAAGAGGTCCGTATGAATTGTTCGTATTTGGAGAAAATGAGGGAGGATCGGGCCGTTGCTGATACCGTTGGTAAACATTCTCATACTGATGCGATTGTTGGAATGATACATATGATGATGATGAAACATCTCGGTGATAGCTCGCTCGGTTGTCATGAGCTCCGTTGTGCTGAGTCAAGTGAATATCCAGATTGTGACCAGGGCGCTGAATCGGGCTTTTAGATTGCTTTACCAACTCATGAAAGGCATAGGTCTTTGGAGGGGCATCCCTGTAAAGCACATCCCCTTGATTTCCGAAGACTGAGTAGGAGGGATGCTCCTTTGTAGAATTATCACTCCAGTCTTTCCACGGGTTCCAAGACTTGTCAACTTCAGCAGCCTGAGCCGAGCTTGATCGTCCTATTGGCGTTGCTGTTAGAGGAGTCCACGAGGTCATAGTCACTGGTGTAGTTGGAGCTCCATTACCTCTGTTCCCCAAATACTGAAGTTGAGGAGAAGGGGCTGGGTGTGTTACGAAAGTTTTTTCAACAGTAATAGGCGCTTCCATCCGCATGGTTGGCTTGACATCAGACACGGAAGAATCAACGATCGATGATTGGGATGGATGGTTGATTGCCGATATTGACACTGATGCAGAATTCGGAAGTGAGACTCCATCCCCATTCTTCATCTGAGCTCGTAAAAGACGAGGCATCACAGGGACTTGGGTGGGCGTAGCAGAGAACCCGTCATGTCGAAAAGGTTGCTCACGCCTTGGCTTGGGTTGTACAATTTCTGCCGGTTTGCCGTTAGGCTTTTTTGACGAAGAAAACACTTTGGAACATTTTCCACCAGTAATCCCGACTTTACTAACTTCAATAGGTTTCTCAGCCAGTTTGACGTCGGAGATAAAGGATCGTCGGACCATGTGCTTCACGCTGTTTGGACTCTCGCGTGTGTCCGTCCCGTCAGATCCATCGCGCTGCTCAGTTGTGGTTTTTGCTGCCTTCATGCGCTTTCGTCGCGTCTTGTTATTAATCACCTAAGGAATACAAACACAAATATGACATCCGATACTTTATAATCAAATATTATTAAAGTTACAATTGTTCTAAATAAACAAACCTCCTCAAATTCTTCAGTTTCCTTTCGTCCCAGGAAATCGTCGTCAACTGCCACGTACTGCAACTGATCATGTGGGACTCGAAAGTGACTGGTCTGTTCCTGAGGTACAGCAGATCTTTGAGGAGAGTAACTTCCATCTAAAACAAAAACAGCCATTCAACAATTATTCTAGTGGTACGTCGTACGTATGCATTTTTAATCTGGTAACTGAAGCAAGATTATACATAAAAATAACACGTACATTTCTCTGAGCTACGATTTGGAACTTTTGTTATCGTGATTCCTGGTGGAAGACTTAGATTACCCAAATCAACGGAATAAACGTCTGCCGATAGAGGAGCAGTTGTAGAATTATTAGTAACATTATTACGATTCTGAGGTTGCAGATGATGTTCTGAGACAGACTCTTCATTCGCATAGGTCTCATTTTTTAGTGGTTTCTTCTTATTCTTATTTTTCTTCTTTTTGTCAGTAGTGGTGACTTCTCCAGTTTGAGTAAGACATCGTTGTTGTGGTGGTTGTTGCAGCTGAGGCTGCCCTGGATCAGGAGCATTATCTGTGGAGACAACTGAAAATTAATAAACATATTCAATTATATATAAACAATTTGTTAAAAATCTTAATATTGTTGTTAATATCAAAGCAGTTTATCTTTTCCCTCTCGCGCTGGTATCCTTCCCATACTATTAGTATGGTAGGGATACGAACGCGGTAGGGTAAAGTAAAAATTCCTTGATACTAACAATGTTAAGTACGAGTTCTTAAGTACATGTTAGCAACAATGTTAAGATTTTTAACGTGTAGAAATATTTAACTTACGGTGACCATTAAGGAGCATGTATACAGGACTTTTCCCTTCCTTGTCATCACTGAGCGTGATGGTCACAACGTTTTGGTTATCCTGAGTGGCAGGATGTCGTCGAATAGTCACCATTCGGGGCTTATCAGGACTTGCAACATCATCCGCGGGCTTCACTGTGTCAACTACTTTCAAAACATTTTCAGACGGGCTGGCGTTGGTATTGCTCACAGAAAAAACCAAAGAGTTATCCTTGCCCTTGCTTGAACTGCTAGCTTTCAAAACAACCGAACCACCATCTTCTGTGGAGTGCAAGGATTCACAATCTGCTTTTTCAGTCTCCTTCTTCTTCCTGTTTTTCTTCTTTTGCCGCCTAGCCTGGCGCTTTTGTTCTTCTGACCTTCGGCGTTCCTCCTCCTCACGTTCCTCTTGTTCTCGCAAAAGTCTCTCGGCCTCTTCCTTAATTCTCCTTTCTTCTTCCTCTCGTCGCATGTCTTCTTCGAATTTTACTTGCATCTAAAAGAAACAACAAGCGATCATCACTTAATATTTGCGTAATAATATAAAATCACGAGTAAGAAATAATTCTGAATTAATTCTTTTTGATTATATAACTCATAATTGGTACCCACCTTCTTTTCCTTCTGGCGTGCTTTCTTCGCCAGTTTTCTGGGGTCGTTTGACATCTTGCCACCACCTTCAATCATCCTAACCAAATCATCAACATTGTCGTTAGGATTTTCCGGGTTGAGAATGATTAAACGCTCTTTCTTCCCACACCTGCAATAAAATAATTGTGTCATAATTTGTACATGAATACCGCAATAATACAGGAGTATAGAGTTTAAAAAATTAAAACGTGGGCAAGAACTTACGGAATAGATTTAACACATGGCGGTGGTTCAGCTCGAGACTTTCGGCTTTCTGAGCTATCTTCACTATGATCCCGGCGCTTAATGAGAGTCTCCAGCATGCGTTGCCTAATCTGAGGATACTTCGGACTCACAAAAGATCCTCCCTACAATATGAAATATAAATATAATGATAAATGACAAATATTGATGTTAGGTGTGCAATAAAGAAAGATGGACAGTTTCACATACCATGTGCCGAAGACAGGTCCTACAGTCCTCCGGACCGCGAATAAATGATGTTAGGCTGTGACCGTGTCCACCTAGGGAGTAGATAAGCAGTGCATACAAAATTATCCACAAGAACCATTAATATAATTCATCCATATCGAATATAGAAAACTAGTGTAGAAGCCCGTCAATTGACGTGCAAAATAGGCCCGTCGATAAGCCCGTTACCCCAACATTAGTGAAGTTAGCCTCTCCTGTTCTCTCTGCAGAGTGGAGAGAGAAAATGAGAGGCTAACTTCAACTAAGCCACCGACCCAGCAGCGATACACTCGCCTGCTTTATATAGTTTAGATTATTTCATTAATTCAATTAACAATCTTACAACAGTCACACGGAGAACTTTCATGGTGATGACATTCGTCCGCCTGGCTCGAACACTCTGAGTGATGATCTCCATCACAAGTTCGAAAATTCTCCGTCCCCTATTAAAGAAATTTGAAGTTAATTAACTAGCACCAATCAAAAATAAACAAGTTACTATTAAAAAAAAACTCTTACCGGAAGATCTCTCGCACATTGTTTATTACTTGAAGAGAGTCTGCCTTCAAGACCCTCTGCAAATAACACAAATAAAATTAGTTATCAAGTTAAAAAATTTAATCGATATCCAATCCTAATAGCGCACCATGATGACAACAACTTCTCGATTCTCCACAATCGGATGCGGACTCTTTCCTCTTGTCAGCCACTGATTCAGCCCTCATATTTATACCCGCTGATGTAGCTGCAGAAGAAGTGCTCGGATCTGCTGATAACCGCAGCCCAGCCTGCCGAAATATTGATAAGGGATTGTACCGGGCGTCAATGTCTTTAATATTCTGGAAAATGTCTTGACTGATGATACACTCTTCAACGATTTGAAGACCGTCGCTCAGTTTAACTAGAATTTCAAACGTATAATGGTAGAATTAGTACATTCACATTATGTAATTAAAATCAAATCACAACTATATTCACCAGAGAGAGTTGGAAACAAAGTTGAAATAAAATAAGTTTTCACCTCTTGGGTTAAATTTGGAATGTGTAACGATAGAAGGAACACTAACACCCCTCACAGTAGTCGTCGTCGTAGTCAGGGTGGACATAAATAATAATTAGCTCCAGAATACCCACAACAATGAACGTTCTTCCTTCCTCCTCACAACTGTATAACTAACTAACTACTTGTCGAATCAAATGTAAAAAACACAGTCAAAGATACTAATCTTTACGAGAATGTACTTATTAATCAAGCACTGTCAAATTATCTAAACCTAATCACTCTCTTCGTTTGTGCTTGATGCCGTTAAAAGTGAAAATAATTAAGTAATATTTCCCTCGTCCAGTCCAGTTAAACCCCAACCTCGAACCGCTGTAAGAACTAGTACTACTCGAAAATATGTAAGAATGAATTGGGACGGGAGAGTAAAAACGGAGAGGAATGTAATTCTGAGATAACGTGACCCGTTTGAGCTGGCAGTGCGTACGGTTTTTGTGACCTAAAAGTACTGCGTGTTTAATATATAATTAAGAGTAGTAATATTTCGTCGTAAAGCAGGCAGCAAGTCTGCGACAATGTGGCGGAGTGTCAACAACAACGGTGTGATTGGTTGCGAGGTGCAAAAAAATGTTGAGAGTTAAAGGACTCAAAATGTGAGGATTTGAAACTTCCCGTCCGTCTGTAGTGGGCTCGGAAGGTGGCTCACTCGATGTCAGGGGCTACCTGACCATGGAGGCAGCACATTACCCACTTTGCCTTGCACTTGCACTCCACAACCAACCACCACATCATCACTTTGAGCATATGGCAGAGATATGCTCACCCACTGCACTTCCTACTCGCTCGCTTCTCCACCACCAACTACCTACTCACTGCCTGCGTAGGTATATCCTATTCATACCACCACCACCATCACCACTACTCCCGACCCACGCACTTCCATCTTTCTTTTTTGCAATGATGAAAATGGTGGAAACTTGCCTTTTTTTAATTGATGAAAATTAATGCGTAAAAGACTCAAATTGCTACCAACCACAAAATATAGTGTGCCATATAGAGAGAAATTAACTACTATCTAGGGAAACTGAAATGCTGATGCCGCTGTCTAGAGCCAAGAGACACAACCCGAAGGACAAGGAATGAAAATTACCAAAGAGAAAAGATGGATAAAAATCACCAGCTACCAATTCTCAAGCAAGAACTATCAACAAAAACTAATAAAAAGGTAACTTACCTGTCATCTTCATGGTTCCGGGTTCCTCGCCGTTTTCAAACGCCACCCGGTAGATCGGCTGTTCATTTTCTCGAACATCGATCTCAATTTTGTCGACAAAAAGCTGTTGCGGCTGGCGCCCACCTTTCTTGCCACGATGTCTCCGCCCCATGGCGCAGGCAGGGAATGATATTCAAAATGAAAAGAAACTCAAAAAGATAATCGAATTAAAATTTAACAAAAATTTTCCTGGAGCGAACTGCGTACGCTGTTGTCGATCGGATGGGGTGGAAGAAAATGAGCTCCCCAAGAAGAAGAAAGCGAGGCGAGGTTGAGGAGGACGGCATGAAGCTGACCGATTTTTCAAGCTTCGTCACGAGGTGTCAATGCCGATGCGATTGCGAGATAAAAACTGTCTCGTTTTTTGCTACTTTTTTGAGATTCTTGAGATTTCTTCAAGTAGCCTCACTGATCGAGGAACCAACCACCGAAACCTGCTGCGAGCGAGACAAAATAGCTGTTTGCTGATGATATAGTCTTTTAGGAATTAGCAAAAAATAGTATTTATAGTTTTTGACAATTTGACAAATTTTTACCATTTTCCAATAAAGTTTTATTAGTACGTACAACATTTAAGTAAGTTTCAACCAATCAATATAATTGATAAATATAATTGATACATAAAATCTGATTACTACATTATTCTTGAGTGTGAATAATTTGTATTTTTAATATCTTAACAACAACCCCCCTCATTGTGCTTTGTGGAATGTCTTATAAATACTTTGATTGATAACGTATTTGGTAGAATTAATAAAAAAGTAAATTTACGTTGACGAAATCTTCTTGTGCTTTGTTCACTTTGTTGGCTTGAATGATGGGGACATTTACCTTATCTACATTTACATTTACCTTTTTATTCATACCACCCAATAATACGATAACTACCTACGAGACGAAATGTGTATACAAATATAAGTAAAAGTGTCAACAGACCAGGTAATTGTTTCCAATTGAAGCTCATTTCTCTCTCTTGAAGAGACGAAACCTCACACATTCCTTAAATTACAACAAATTTCATAAGAATGATTGAACATGAAGAAGAGCTGTACAATTTGTTCGGATTCTCAAAAGCTACGCACATACATATATTAACACATATATTAACACGTATGTATTTACAGAGCAGTGTCAGGATGAGATTTTTTGTCAAATAATATGGGTAATTCCATAATATGTAAGTATGTTGTATGACATATGTACGTTATACACTAATTACAGTCAAACATGGATACACATTTATTTAGTAACTAATTAATTTGATAAAACAGAATTAACAGACTAGAAAGCAGTTCAGATCAGAGAAATTTAGAATTCTATTGTAATATAGAATACAATACTTAAGTACATAGCTATACAAGTAAATGAAAAATAAATTACTACTACTGCTACTATACTACGGCTACTACTACGACTACTATAGTATGTGTACATATGTCTGTATCAATAGTAGTGAGTACATATGTAGAATTGTCATAAAATATAGTCAAACTCATCATCATTATCATCATCGTGATAACCACAGTACAAGATTGGTACCCATTGAGAAAGTAAACTCTACTTTTTTCAGAATTTATTTAAAGCGTCGTCAAGTTTGTAATGAGATCAACTTCCTCTTCGTCATGATTCTGAAATTCTGCTTTGCAATTCGGTATGTCCACGACGACCGTTTGAGAACTGTTGGCCTCTGCCGGTGGTGGTGGTGGTGGACTTAGAGGTGGCAGTTCCAATAGTTGTGTTTGTAATTGTGATCGGCATTCGGACGATGACGACTTGACCCCATTTCTTCCCATTGAAACTGCAGATCCATTGTTGGGACCGCGTCGAGATCGGTGTCCCCTGTGGCTGGCATTACTAGTCAGAATAGCTCGGGGGTTTCTTCCCTCGGTGAAACGGTAGGATGCCCGGACCTGGATAAATCAGTAGAACAGAATTTGGATTAAAATTCCTAAATGAAGAGAAAGAAAGGCATTTGGCTTAAGGATGGAAAGATTTAAGGGTTTTATGTAACATCATTGTAATGAGATGCATATTCCGTTATCATCTCAAACATAACCGAGTTAGTGAATTGATGAAAAAGTTAGCTTTGTGCATAAAAAATGCCCATACTTTCCACTTAAATAAGACTAGGGATGAGCAAATTGGGAATAAAAAGGAGGAGAAAGTCTACGCCGCAATAAATGAGAAGATGCAGGCAGATAAAAGTTTGACTTTTATAGATTCCACGAGTAAAAGATGGCTTAATATCAGAGAAGGAGAGAGAGAGGAACACGCTGTGATGGTGGAAACATATTTTTTATAGGATTACTTACCCGACTGCGGTCAAAATCTGACATCTCAGTGCATGGGGAGTCGGCCCGGTTTCCGCGACACTTTTGGAAACAGTGGAGTCTTGCCTTAAATTCGCGTTGGAATTTGTCCTGAAAACAAAAAGATCCGGGAGTGAGTAACATGATGGATTACATAAGTAATTCTGCCTGGGTTTTGATCGTGGGACACATCTTTTTGGCCTGGTTCATGGTTGGTTGTAAGCTTTCAACCCTGCATATCAAATTTGTAATCGGATTGGTGGGTTATAAAATTGTCAAAACGGGTGGAGAAAGGAATTCTCATTTTTAGGATGAGAAAATTTGATTTGATTTTGGAAGGTGATTTTGATTTGAGTGCATACACGTCATGCGGCATAGGTGACAGACACCCTTATGTCAACTTTCACCAAGGTTCAATAGAGTGAAAGCCGCATATGTAATACCCGGGTGACATTTCACCACATTATGGGAATCCCATGAGGCAGTCAAATATTTGGCCACCTGATGAGATTGACCAGGTTGACCAGAGCGATGACAAAGACAAAAGTACATATAAAGTGTATGGATGTATGTAGGACATGTTTTTGCTTTCACCTCTTTCGAATCTGCAATTTAAACACATAGTTTGGTTAACAAAATGTGGTAATTTTAACACCGTGTTAAAATGGGTGCTGGCCCAGTCACTGCCTACGTAGTGCATACTACGTAGTACTAGGGATTGCAAATCCATTCCAAAAATTCGGTTTCGAATCGTTTTTGAAATTATTTAAATCCTTTCAAAATTTTATACTTTTATTGAATATTTTTTAAATTATAGCCTAAGATAGCTGCTTGATCAGATCCAACATCAAACTTTTTACAAATTATGATTTTTCAGCCCCAAATTCAAGACAGGTAAAGAAAGTTTGAAAAGTATTACAAAATTCAAAAAAGTTAACCTTGACATAGATAATGGAAATCCACCTATCGGACAGTGCAAGAGTGGTGCAAGAGTTCTAAACTTGAAAGATAAATTGAATTTTTTGAACCAGTTTGATTTTGGGTGTGGTGGTTCTGCATAGTTTCTTTCACAACTCTGAGTGGGTGTGGTTAGCGCAAACGGGATGCATGTTAACTCGTTGGGCACATCCGATACACAACGTCCAAAGAGCATCCCAATATGAAATTGAGATTTAGAAGTCCACTTCTCCAAAATGATTATGACAGAACTAATATACCATAGGACCAAATCGGACAAGGATCAAGGTTCAATCGAGGTCGAATTTTGTTTGGGGAAGAAAAAGTGCATTCTAGGTCAGAAAAATCAAAAACCACAGACATCCAAAATCTTGTTTTTGTGTCTGTGAAATCCGAAAAATCTGGATAATTTGAATTTAAAAAAACTGGGTTTGCAATCCCCAGTGCATGTTTACGCAAGTATATGAGGCTGACCTCGACATGTCATTGTTGTATTGTTAATTATTTATTTGTTTTATTATTCCTTTGTTATATATAGACATTTATGTATCGCATATAATGCACATCGGTGTGGTCATTGTCTCACTGTTTATTTATTACTTTTAATTTGTACACCCGCAAAACCATTTAAAGTGTCACCAACCCTAACCAAATAAGTAATTGGATCGAACGGAAATGGAGGTCACATCGAATAATGATAACAACGAAGTTCAATTACACATAGTTTGTTACGACACCTGCTGCGCACTTGTCAAAATATGAAGCAAAATGTTTGCGTGTTCGGTTCATAATTGGTCTCAAAAAGTGACACTCTAACCATTTTATACCGTATTTTGCCACCCTGTCCCACCCACCATCACAGTGGCCACCACTTCAGCCAATTTTACCAATTACCATGATAGACTGTAGGTATAACAATTATGGTTCATCTCTCTCATGGTCTCGCCCACACACTTGACTGATTAAGAGAGAACTCCCCATTTGATGTATTTTCGGTTTAATGCAATTTGTTTTGTCTGCTACATTATGCAATCTTTTCCAGTTGGAACTTGGTTTTAGAAATTTGTACATGCAAAGTTTACACAATGGGTCGCATGTACATCCATACGTCCGTTTAATGTAGCATGGAATCAAGCAATCTGCAATTCGTGAGAGTACAATTAAACTCTCATAGATCTGCGGATTCTGTGTAACATTTCTTCCACGCCAATTCTCAAATTCTTTTGCTTCACATCAAAATCTACTCCTCTAATCGGATTGTGGATGCAAAACAAATATACGGCATTCAGTCCCCAATTCTTCTTATACGTCAAAGTTTTGTGTTTAGTTCACCAACTCCGCACTTGTTAATCTGGTTTGTTATACAGTTCATCAATTTATCAGAATGAAAAATCCATCTATTCTGCCCTGTGTACTCATCCATTCATGCCCATCATCGATTTCCAGAACTTCTCGATAAAGTTCACACACAGTAGTGCGTACATAACTCATCCTTGGAAGAAGTCGTCAACTTTTTTTGCCGTCATTTTTACCCATACGAGAACAATGAAATGAATGAAGGCGTAGTAATAATAATAATAATCGTAGGGAATAATCAGCCCATTGTATTGATGAGGATTTAATAACGGTTTATTTTCCCGTCATACTTTCATCCAAGAGCTTAATTTGTATGCCAACATGGTAAAAGCAGTCGGTTTGATTGACAATTGACACATATTGATGAACGAAGAAGAAGAGTAGGAGGATCGGTTTGGCATTAAGGAGAAACCTTCCCACTTGGTTTGCTTTCCTTTTTCCATCAAATTCCGCACTGGCAGCAGCCTTTTCTTTCACCCAGTCAGAGAGAAAGTCAATGATATGCTGACAGGGTGCCTGACAGTCTTTATCCATCATCACCAACAGTTTCCGTCAAAGTTGGCAAGGGAAAAAGTTGACCTTGCTGCTCACTCCTTTGTTCATCCAAGGAAACATCCTTCCCAACCAATTTTATGTATTTTTTGGCCACTTGTACGCAATCATTTAGGAATGAGAAGGAAATCATACAAGTTTTTTTCATCATAGAAAATCCACCAAATTAACTACACACTCATTTAGTGAGGGCATGTATGGAATAAGCAATAATTGCGTCATTCTCAACCTTTCACTTTTATGTATGTATCCTTCTGACCAAAAAAAAACGTATTAAAAAAATTCCGTGGCTTCCGCACACTGGAGTGAAAGTGAAAAAACGTGCCAATTGTATTTCACGCAAACCCTTTGAAAGGAAATTTATTCAAGAACAACAAAACATATTCAAACTATTACTTACATCACTTGCTACTTATGTGTGTACTACTACGAGTGGCACATACAAAGGATGAGTACAATTTATACATGTTCGTGGGCAGCCAAGGGAAAATATATTTCTTTTAGTGTTGCAAGGATTCAGACTGGCAAATTTTTCCATTATTCGCCAGCATTGGACCATTTTCTCTGGCAATTCTATTACTCCAATTCGCACAGTGTGTTTGGCCAGGATAAGGAGCTACGCAGCTCATACGTTAGGTTGGGTACGTTGAAGGAATAAATTGCGTTACACACATTGCTACGAAAAATAAATATGGCAGCAACTTTCATCAGCCTACAAATTGGGGGGGAACATTGTTCAAGCAGAAAATTCAATCTGGAGATTGTGTTTGTTCACAAGTGGAAGAATTATGTCTCACACTGAATGCAAACCATGCTTGGCACACCATTTATTGCCACCTTGGACAAGTTCTAAACTGCCATTATACTTGCCTATCCATGCGAAGTAACTGCCTACGCCCCACTCCTCAGACAAACGCCTTGTTTGCTGCTTCCTCATTTTTTCCACTTTGCATAGATTTCAAACCACCAGTAGGAAGATCGGGTGACTATTTTTATTTTGAGCCCATAACGCCTAAATCATTCTTTGATCACTTCTGAACCATTTGGGTAGTTTTGTAGGAAATACATATTCCCGAATCAAAAAAGAGAAAGGCTGGACGCCATGTAGGTCTTGTTACGTCTGCTTCCCTGGAGATGGTATGGAAACTCGGAGAAAGGATAATCCATCTGTTTTCCTCGCCAAGCAGGAATAACAAGTGGAAATCTTGCGAGAGGACCAAACGTTTAAATTTTCTACGTCCCCGTTAAATTCACTTTGATGGAATTTGGAAACCTTCCCAGAAGATCAGATTACGAATTATTTCCTTTTTCACTGAATGGTTACATACTGAAAGTGGAGGATCTCCATTCTGTACAACACCTTTATCCTCCCTCTTTTAAAACCCTTTGGTAGATATCACTCCAGGGTTTAATTCGATAAGATACCCAAATTTATGATGATTCGAATACTCAAAGGAAAAAATAAAGAATGCGAATCAAATAATAGTCTTGGATTTCTGATTTCATTCAGGAAATCGGAAATCCCATCACAAATGTTCAAATCCTCTCTGCAGCCCTCGCAGAACGATATTGTGTGCAAGCCATCCACCAAAAATGATTGATACACAGACAAATTTTCACCCGTCCACGAAAGATGTTGCTTTCTCCTGCACTTTCTCTCTCCGAGCAGATTCAGAGTCTCAAGTATCGCAAGGATGGTTTTCGTGTATCAATTATTTAGTAGATTGCGAAATCCGCGACAACAGTGTGCACTTTGGTCTATTTATCCCTTCCTTCCTCTGTTATATGTATCGCTATCTGCTATTTTTATAAACTCTTTCTCCAATTTCTGATGATATGGATCAAACGAGAAGAAGGATTTGCCTACAAGGGTTAAACCCAAATTTCCGTTTGCAAGACAGTTGTTCTGTCGTTGTGACGTGACGATGCTTCCCACAAACAAATTCCCCATCTCTCTCTCGCTCCCCTTCAAGACGATAAACCACGGGATGACGGAAAGGTGTGAAGGATTTATAACATCGACACTACCACAAACGGTGCTGTTCTCACCGAAACTTTACCACCAGAATGCAAACGGAAAGGGAACTTGACTTTCCGCACGAATTTACAAGCCACATGGGCACAAGCCAGTGAATTTCGGTGTCAGTTGTGTGTATGCAAAACGTAACAAGGAAAGAAAGCAGTTCATCTCGGCATAAGTCAGGTCAATAAGAGAGCATTCCCCGTTTCCACTCTGGAGACTTTCGACGATACTCCCACACATGGTTTTCACAGTGTCGAAATAATTTAGTGTCACCTGATTCGAGTGCAGTGCATGCCGTAAAGACGACGGGCGATGAGTTTATAACCGCATTGGAGATGCATCAGGATAAGGATGACAGCAGCAGACGCGCCATTCAAGGTGTCAGGAAGCTATGTTACGTAGTAGTTGTCGTCCTATTATTATTGAATATCACGTAAGGTGCAGTATATGCACCAATCCATGCCTACCACTTTTTACATATACATATGTACACACGTACTTAGAAAGTGGTAGATCCGTACGTACGTGTCTAAAAGTTCCTTGAAAATATAGACTCTGAAAACCACAGGCATAAAATTACCCCGTCAAACTCAAAGTTTTACTCTTGATGAGCATGCAAATATGCAGATTTTATGTAGCCATCAACCATCTCACGTACGCTGCCACCGAATTACTTTTGAGCGTATTAAAATCTCATCAAGACTTGATAAAAGAAAGAAAGAGGAGTCACACCACACTCTCTTTTGACACTTTTCTCGCCTGTTATATAGTGCAAACATTGAGTATTTAAATAAATAGTTGGCTTCGAAGTATAAAATAGCGTCATTATGTATATCTTCAAACTTTTGGTACGTAGTTTATGTACGTATCAAAAGCTTCACAAAAGCGAAGTTATGTAAAGTTCAACGAAAGATTTATGTGCAAAAATGCAGCAATCCTTTCACAAGATCGGCCCACGTATTTTGAAAAAGATGAAAAGAAAATAGAAAAGCACAAGAACCAAGTTAAAGATAAGGTGTTGCTTGAGTTACCTATTGATTTCATATGAATACCATTTTTTAGCGTATGTGACACCAAAGAAAGGAAACCACTTACGTTGAATATCGCATAAATTAGTGGGTTGCAGCAGGAATTGGACATAGCCAGCCAATGGAATCCGAACCAGATGATATTGATGTATTGGTACCTGAAGAGAAAAAAACGATTTTTTTATATAAAAATCCGGCACGCATAACCTGTTTGCAACAATTATTTATCACGTAATACGATCTGCAAATATCGATATCGATACGACGACACCGATGCTGCTGCTACTACTCCTTGACCACTGATTGTGAGTGAAAACAGATTTATTATTGTGACTACGAACCAATAATTCGCACCATGCCACAATAAAGCAAAGATTTGTCTTTAATCTCTCCCAGCATCCTGACTAAATCCGTCTGCCATGTAAATCCGGTTTATGCACAAACTCCACTCCACACTTTGTAAACACATAGACTGACTTCCTAAGTGATAAAACAGTATTAATGGCGAAATGTCTTCTTCCTGGCACATTTAATTGTGCGAAGAGAGCTGCGATTATACCCTGAACAATCTAGCTAATTAATCTCGCAGCTTTTGGAAAGCTTTATTATGACCCATAAATCCCATTTTATTGAAGATGAGATTACTCACGGGTATATTTGTTGTACATACGTGCATAGTCAAACAGGACGCGCTACGCAGACGGAGGCACACGGATTCACGTCGTAAAACTGAGAGAAAGTTTGAAACATTTGAATCAATGCAATTACTGCACACTTACTCGTTAATTGAAGCAACGAAGCTCCCAAAGAAGTTGTACATCTGCAGGGGAAGCCAGCACAGGGCGAAGAGAAGCACCACCACGGCCAACATCTTGATCACCTAAGTGTAAAAAGGGAGATAAGAACATTAGAGTTTCATTAGAAAAAAAACTATTCGAATGCCCGTAAACTTCACGGGAAACTTTGTCATCGTCAGTTTAGTCTTTAAAAACATTGTCTCTTATTTCTCCTCTCATCATTAGACGCACTTCCGCTTGTCATATCCACAACATACTTATCCCTCTGTTGATTCATTGTTACAGCGTTTTATCATCCTGCCATTTCCCACGTCTGAGAAACGCATGGAAAGAGCGTGATGAGACCAGAAGGAGGGAGTGAGTAAGTACTTATAATAATGTGTCCAGGAGATGGAATAGACTGCAGAGTTGGATGACGGCATTCACCCTGCGAAGCCGATGTTGTTGTTGGCGGATGGATTTGCATGGATCAAGAGAAAGCTTTCTATCACAACTCGCGAAACAATTAGGCAGACAGGAAAATGGAGAATTGTTGTCGTCTGAATTTTCACAGCAGCAGCATCAGATTCAGCAGCGTAATAAAACGTTGTTGAAACTTTTGCATGTCAGCATTTTAGACTAACTAACGAAACAATGGGAGATAGAGAGAAGTGTCAACTGTATTTATGGAATTGGCACTACTTTGCCCTGAAAGCTGACAAAGTACCCACACGCTGCTCACCTCTTCTCTTATCAAGTGTGTGGGGGGCATAAATTTAAATTAATTCAATGGTGACAAAAGTGTTAGCTTCTTTTGTTGTTTTCACTCTGTTTTAATTGGTTACTCAAATTTCACACAGAAAATATCTCAATGAAACAGGTCCACGAAATGTGATAGGAAAAACCTTGTCTCTGAGTACCCTTTCTAAATTAAATTCGTCATTTTGCCCTAGAAAGATCTCCGTAAAAACTGTGCCAGTCACTGGATGCGTCATATCAGACTGTGAGGAGAAAACAGCACGTGCTTGCAATACGTTTGTGGTGAAAGCAGGGCGGATTAAAGTGCGTGTCTCCGTGGTGTTGTGGCTTGTTTTACTCAGTTTGCACAAAATTCGTTAGTGATCGAAATGTAGGTGGTGGTGGAATACGTAGTTCATCCCTCGACAAGCCGTGTGACATAATCTTCTTCCCCATTAACCCAGCGGGTAAGCTGTGCGGATTTCACAAGTATTAAGTGCATTGTAATTTCCAGTATTGAAGATAAATCGGATCGTAGTTTGTGGTTGTTTATGTGCATACGTACACAGTTGCTGCGTACATAGATACTTGAGTTTTTGATAGTCCGCTTGCCCATCCGTCTTTCCTTATGCTTCCATCCACCCAAACACACTGCAGATTATTCCAACAACCTCTTCTGTATAATGCCCCACTAAATATCTACGTATATAGAACTATACAATTATTATTTCCCAACTTCCTGTCTTTTTTTCTCTTCAGTGAGATTAATCCTCAGCGTTTGCATATGACTTGGCTCCGTGTGCTTGAACTACTACAGAAGTTCGCAATTTCCTTCTTCTACTTACTTCTGCTATAAGAATGTACTACAAAATAATCCATCTTTGCTACTTCAACTCGGTCTATTCGTCTATTCGGCTGGGTAAAACCAGAGGGCAATACAATGATAATAATCGAAGGAGGAAATATTTTCAAAAAGTAAACAGTACCCTGGAGCAAATAAGAAAATGGTGGTGGTGGTAGGAAAAGAGAAAGTGGTGGATGATCTGAGTTGCAAAAACTACTTGGAATTCAGCACCACAGTGGATCACGTTTGCCGAATCAGACATAACTTCTTCTTATCCATCGTATTCGCAGGTAAAATGATAAATTGTTCGTTTCTAGGAATGGAACAAATTCGCAGCTAGTGGTTTAGTTGTTAAACCCTATTTTCCTCATTTTACTCTTTCCTCCAGAGAGAAAACGTCCACCAAGAAGAAGAACAAGAAGGTCTCGCTGCCCCGTATTGCCCTTGATCGCTCCTCTTGTATCTCATCCTCCATCCTTCCTGTTTACCCTATCACTGCAACATAAGAAGGAGTGAGCATGGTAAGTGGATTCCCTGACGACTGCCCTCGTACAAATTGGCCAAGAGAAAGAGAACACAAAAGGAGGACGAGAATTCGAGGGTATAAGTGGCCAACTGGTTGGACGGGTGAATCCCTTGTTAATCATTTACGGAAGCTTCAAACCCACAATCTGACAATCACACAACGGGAGAAAACCATACTCTGCATGAACTTGTTATCTTTCAGCTCAGGTCTCATTACAACCTTTCACATTTAAGTCGCAACACGTCTCGCTGAGAAAAATTTAATGTGAGAAATTGACCAAGCATCACTCCCCGTCAGAAATGGAAAGGTTACTGTCAGATCGTAACTAAACTGCTGAGTAATATAATGAGACGACCACAAAGGTATAAAACAAATTAGATTCCCTTCTCTCTCTCTCTCTCACAGGAAAACGAGCTCTCCTTCTTCTCGGAGGCACATTCAGCCGTCTTGTTTCAAAAGGCTGTTTCTCCAACAACAAATTCTCACCCACCCATCGACCAAGCGGACCTTCCGGTCTGCGTGCCGCTCTAAGATTCATTGAACGACATTATGCCCCCGATTTGTGATGCCGCATCCAGTCAGCTAGAAGATAAATGCTCATTATGCGTGCAAAGGGAGACAGCACCGCCTGCCTGCCCGAGTCTCGACATGATTGTCACACTTTGACAAAAGTCTTGGCCAGTTCCCCAGACGGTGAGTGAGCGAGTCCTAAAACTTTTAGGCCCAAAACTACTGGAGAAGTCAAGTGTGTGGTGACTTGGAGACCGCCTCCTCCTCCTGTCAGCCATAGATACGAGGCACCCATATGTACAAGAGAAAGCAGACGAAGTGAACAAGTCAGGCAAGGCTAAGTTCCTTCTTCCTCTTCCTAATGGCCATTCATTTGGTGAAACAATGGTTCATAAAAATCAATCCACAAAGGACCAGAGAGTAACAAAATGACAAGGGCTATATATACACTCCCATTAACTCCAATTCAGTTTCTCCGCACGACGAGTTTTGAGAAAACAGCTCTCTCTCCCAGAACGTCGATATACATATGCGAACAAAGTCTCGTTTGCTGAACGGCAACTTATATATCATTGACGTCGGCTTTACATCCATACACAAAATGGTACCTTTACAACCCGACTGGACAACTGTTCTCTGGACGAAAGGACACTCCGTAGAAATTGTTGAGTGCACGCAGGGCGAGGGAAAAACGGTGGGTCGTTACAGTCTCTTGTCACTGACAGGAATATTGATGGAGGGAACGCAACATTCTCTCAAATCTGTGGGTCTCAAACGTTCAATCCGTGGCGTCGGACGTGGTGGCCATGCGGTGCAGTGGTACCATTGGGCGTGTTCATGTTCTTGTTTGCCGTGCGAAGAAAATCTTGACAACTCGTAATCTCTTTCTCCAGGATCCGCAAACGACTCTAACTGTCAAGACCAACAACAACCCAACAACCCAACAACAACAACAATGATAATATTAACCAACAAACTCTTTTCATTATTAAACTTTCAATCGAGCCTTTTGAGTGGGTCGAGAAAGGTGTGAGGATGAGATGAGCAGTCATCTTCGTCGTTTCAAGGTTGCACAAACATCTCTCTTGACACAAATGATTAATATATTGGAAAAGTTTGTCCGCACGTGTTTCATTATTATTATCCATGAGATCAAAGACGTCCACTTCTGAAGGTTCAGTTTGACGTCTGCGGGTTCTTTATGTGTCTAAATGTCACACGTGCCCAATCTGTTAATTATGATGGTATACATTTCGTGGATGCATCCCCCAGAATAAATCGCTAATGAATGGAAACTGGGTCCATCTTTGTCAAGTTGGCTCCTCAAGGACCAATAAAATTCAGGAGGGCATAAAAATAGGACTGGCACGACCATGAGTGCATACATACATACATACATACTCGTTCATGCGTGCTTTGTTATTCTTGCGACGTGACGTGTTAAAGAAGCAATAATAATATTGCTCATTCGCGTATTCGAGTGGTGCCAAGATTCTTTCTTAAATTGTTCAGCATATCATTTTGGAGGAAATTAAAGTCAACAAAATACAATTCTACAGAATTTTATGAAGATACATAATCGCATAAGGTGAGGCAAGTGGAGACGAACATGTCCATCCACTTAAGTGCATATGTACATACACACTTACGTAATGTGGGTGTCTGGTTGTCGCAATCGAGATTCCACTCACGATTGAACTTGTGGCGAATATAATGCGGTATCCATCCACTCAACTTTACTTTCTTTTAACAACTTCTCCTACTCCTACCGCCTCCACGCCATCCGCATCACACGGTAACTCAGCACGACCTGCCTCCAGCACCCCATTTATTGTAAGTCACAAATTCATCAATTTAGAATTCTATCGGCTTCCAAAGTCAAATTAGTCTCTTTCCAAGCTATTCATTTTCTGTTTGCTATTCCAAAACACGTTTCCGAATTCTGATGAGTGTGTTGATCACTCACTTTCAAAAAAAAATTCGTGGCACATGAGATAAAATGCGGAAAAGTCTGTCTCACTGCTTTTACGGCTTCTGGAACTTGAATTACTTTCTTTCTCCCTTTTGAGAGTATTCATCCACAGTAGTTTCATTGCAAAGTAATTAGTGGAGCTCCCCAGGGATCCAATTGGAGTTTATTACCTGGGCGATAGCTCCATGTGTTTACTACGCGGTAGGAGCAATTATTAAGCAATGTACACAGGCAGGTAGTTTTCGCTTTCATAAATTATTTATGCCTGGAGAATACAGAGAAGGTATGACGTGATAGATAGTAAAGTGCAGCCTGTTTTGGTTTGCGGGATTTTACTACGGTTTTTAATTCGTAGTTATGATCGTCACACGGGAAAATAATCTCACACACGACATAAATCAAGACCGTCTCCTCACCCCATGTCTCGCCCTTCAGATAAGTTCGAGAAATGTCCTACGGGTATGAATCAATTAGCCAATTAAGTGAGAAGTGCATAATCACGACTTTCACCCTGTTGCTTGCACCGTCACAAAAGGTTTTAAGAAAATTGGAAAGACTTTGCTAAAAACAAAACAAAACAGCACGTAAGAAGAAGCCCCAGCCGCGAGAAAGCGAGTGAGTGAGATGGATGCAAAAATTTTCTCCCAAGCGACTTCTCCCCCTGCCTCCGGTGAAAGTCTATAACCAAGATACGAACTTTATAAATGAAATCTGTGTAATGTAATGAGCACATGCGGGCCCTAGTTTGGTCACCCGTAAAATTTGATAACGCTTCTCCTTCCCGAGCCAACAAAATGCCCACGGTGAGTTTAACTTAATGTGAGGGGATTTGTGAGCAAGAAACATTTCTTGCTTCCTTGATGAATATATGTATGGCGATGGTCATATATTCTGCCACCATCACTTTCATTCAATCCACTCATTCGATAACCAACCACCACCACCACCACCACTTTTAGTTATCTCCTCACGAACCACCCTCATCGCGAATGAATACTTATCATCTCGGAGGAAGGGTCACACTGACGTAATGACGCCTTATGGATACACACTCCCGTCTTCTTTGAAGTTTGTCTAATAAAACTAGGATTTTAATATAAATCTTCTGCCACACTAATTTTCCGCAAGTTTTTTTTTATCAAAGGAAATCTTAGGCAATGCATTTTCCAGAAAATAAGTATGTTTACGGTTACCTTTTTCTTGTTGCGCAAAACGACGGCATCGCGAGATTCTTCCTTGTTCCCGGGAGCAGTGGCCCCCCAGAGCTGAGCCGCCATTCGGATGTACGCCCCCGTGATGATGATGAGGGGGAGGAGGTACTGAATGATGACGAGGCATAAGATGTAATACCTCCGCAAGTCGTCCGACATCCCCACATTTTGGCAGAAGGGCTTCACCACCCCTTTCTCAATTTTAGCAACCACCCTGAAAAAATTAAATCATGAAATTTTGTCAAGTTATTAATTACTCTTCGTAATTTGCGTCATCGATGTGTTTGCAACTATTTCTGGAAACTCTGTGTTGCAATTCCCCTGGTAATTAATAAGGAACTTGTGAAATCACAAGTACACTACTTTGTTCGCTGTCAATAACATGTCTCATTTAATCACAAAGTTTCATATTGTGACCACATTTGCATGGCCCAACGATCCGGTGGGGGCTCTGTAAACATTTTGTACAAGAACCTTGGAAGGAGGAAGGAGAAGAACGCTTCACGATTTTAGAGTTGAAGATGGAGATGATGAAAGGCCTTGGTTTGATTAACTTGAACCACAAAGAGAGAGGACGACAGTTTTGCCTTCTTCAGGACGTGAAGTATTGCGTATAACCTGAGGAGATTTGCCATCTCATGTTGACAATAAGTACGAGTAAGGAGAACACTCAGTCAACAAAATATGGACAAGATCAGGGTTACGGTCCAAACAAGTTATCTAAACTTTCTCTCTGCCATTGAAGTCAAACATATATTTATTTAACCAGTAAGGTTTCAAAATTTTAAAAGCTTTCGCATGCAATCACCATAAATTAAGTGTCAATCAGACACACATGTGCACATTTCGCTACACTTCACACAGAACGCTCTACCAACTTCTTTGAACAATGTTGCTGCTGCGGCTGCCTACTTTAGTTTTCCCTTTGTGCAAAATTCCTAATGTCATAATGGCAACGATAATAATAATGGGAGGACCAAATCAACACAACATTCTAGGAAAAACTTGGTTTCTTTCTCTCTCTCTCGCTGTCTCATCTCCCCTCAGAGAGCAATATTGCAGCCAGCATTGAAAGAGTGGAGATAAAGAGAGGAGAAAGCAGAGAGAGAGAGTTCTGCGAAGAACACCCCACAGGGACAGGCCATTCTTCCATTCATCAGCCAAAGACAAGGACCTACCCGGTGGTGAAAGTCGCCGAGAAAGTAATTAAAATATCAGCCCCAATTCTAATAACGTGAGAAGACGTAAACCTACAAAAATGTAGATGAGGAGAAACAACACGTGCAAATTGATGGCTCGTTATATCCCACGATTGCGGAAAATATTAAATGAAAGATGTGCATTAATTCCTTTCTTAGCTGACGCTGCTTTTGTGCCGCGGAAGTGAAAGGAAAACTACTGCGCTGTCTTTTGAACGATTGTTTATAAGGAAGGAGGCCCAAACAGAGTCATTCCATGAACCCCTCTCTTTCTCTCTAAAACCGCTGATGCTGGCTGGCGGAATTATTATGATGATTATTGCAACGATGCTGGTACTTTAGTAAACTTGGCGAAGAATTTTTGAAGCTGTTCGTTCTCGCTGAAATGCGATGTTTCGTTCTTGCCCCATTTATGCGGAAAAATGGAGTGAAAGAGAGGCTGTGGAGATTGCAAATGGTAAATGTGGTGGTGGTTGGCTGTGGGTTAACAGAGCGGAGAAAAGGAAAGTACTTTGTTAAGTGAGGAAACATGAAGCGGATTGATTCACATCTGGATCTTTGCTTACGCTTGTACTGGTTGAGAAAGGAAACACAAAGTCATAAATCCAACCAAGAGGAATCGACATTTTGGGTTGAAATGAATTATTATTAGTTTCTGTCTACGCATTTCCCAAGGTTTTACTTATATTCTCAAGAACTAATCACTATTTTGGGGGAAAGTGAGATTGCGGAGAGCGTAGTGAAAGTGAAAGCATTCTGCTTCAGAGGAGAAAGTGGAGACGAAATCAGACTTACTCGCTCACTATTTGGAAACGGAACAAACCAGATTTGTACCAGATTTTGGCCTCCATTCGAATCTGGAAGGGAAACGAGTCGGAATATGACCCGGCTCTACTTAACTCGCTCACTCTCATGGATCATGTCTTCGGGAAATGAAATGAAATTTTAGATTGAGAAAAAGTCTCAAAATTCGGATTCCATTATCAACCCATCGATCTCTCCGCCCCTCTTCAATTCCTGTTTTTTTCTGCTGGAAGGACCATTAAAATATTTTATCGCGACGCTTTTCAATTGATGCAGACAATATTTTAAGAAAAGTGACAGTCGGCAAGGTATTACTTTTCACTCGCTCTCACTCCACACGCAGGTGGTGGTGGAGAATATGTGTCTGTAACTTGTTGACTTGACTTGAAAGCCTTCTTGTGTCTGGGAGAAAGCGTTCCCCACAAAATTTTGTTGGAAAATCCCCAACAAATGACACTTAACAAGCCGAGTCTATCATTTCCCCACTAGTTCTACGCGAGGAACATATCATGACACAATATAAATGCAAATTTTTCCGAGCAGTAGTCAAAAAGTTATTGAGTTTGTGAAACTTGTCTCGACGACGGCGACGACGACGACGACGACGACCACTCATTTCGCATAGAAATGTGTAGGAAGTATGCAGCCATTGTCTTGAATGCCATTTGCATGCATCAGTCACCCCCAAGCACTGATTTGAGGTAAATGTACTTTCCGTTGGAGGCATAAGCACACGGCCAGCTGTGATGCAACCCTGCCAACAAGGACCCCATGCAGAGAAATCTCGTAGTCTAGCAGTAGAAGCGTGTTTTGCACACAGGTTTTTGCCTGTCATGAACAGTAAGCGTGGTTGGAGGAAGATATAAAGGAAGGTGAAATAAGACCAGCTAAATCGGGATCTCTCTCTATAATGCAATAATTCTCCTCCTGACCCATAATAATCATTGTCTTCATCATGTTTGGTGGGCGAGAGAGAGAGAGAAGACATGCTCTCAAAATTCCATCTCGACATGAACGCGCTTTCTCCCAATAACAAGGCATCATACCATCAGAAATATGTGCTCACACTGCATTGCCTCCTCCTCCTCCGGTCAAGTGGTATCCCACCAGGAAAAAAAAACGATGATTCGGATGGATAGCCAGAGTTCTAAATTGTTCTCTGGCGGTCCGACATACCTCAGCAGCATTTGTATTTTGGTTGCCCTAAATTCCATATACATTGATCGAGCAGCATAAAAGTTTCAAGAAGGACCAAGCCTGGGGATCTTTTACGTAATAAATCCATAACCCGTAATGACATAATCCCACTCACTTCGCCAACCCTTTCACGGATGATGATGGATTGAAGGCGTAAGTAACCAGTCGTTGTCATAAATAAGACTAAAAACTAAGGACAATACTAACCTGGAGCTTATTCACTAATGAAATTATAACCCAATTCTTTACTTATCAGTGACACTAGGATACATAAAGACACAAACCAAAAACTATTTATAGCTCGATGTTTTACCATTTCCTTTAATGTCTCTCAATATTACATAAATTTATTAATTACGCAGCCAAATATTTACGACCGACTTGACTAGTTTAATAATGTTTACGACTGTGTCTTACTTGAAATCAATTTCCATCGGGAGGGCCAACACGACGCCGACGGTCCAAATAGCAACAATTGCGAAACCAGCTTTTCTCTTGGAAGCTCGAGCGCTCAGGGGATACAACACGGCGCGATATCGGTCCTGATTTCATGTCCATTTATATTAATACATTCGTATTTGTGGAGCGAATAAATAATGCATAATTTACATGCAAATACTGACTTCGTATATGTATTAATATTCAATTTGTTCAACTCACCACGGCAATGGCACTCAGCGTGAAAACGCTCACGTTCACACTCAGCACCTATGTAAATGAATAATAAATGAAGCATTGATCATTGACGACGACGACGAAGTTCATCGTGCGAAATAAATAAACACATTCTCTCGACGAGTTTCTCATGTAGGTAAGTCAGCACTTTTAAAACTTGCGATTTGGAGGAGAAAGTAGATTAAATATGCAAACACCTGAGAAGCATGGTTCTTCCAAAAGTTTTGGAAAGCATAAGGAAAACATGCGACATTTGTCCCGTTGTATGCTTATTTTCGTTTTGCTGCCCTTTACATCGTCTATTTTAATAACAATGTCAACTAAATGGGAGAAAATCCTACTATGCAAATCCTACAGCTAGGGGATTAATAGATTTGAGATTAATAATTAAGCTTAAAACTTGTGGATTACGAATTAAAGATTTAGAAGGAGAATTCGGATTAATTTTAGAATTAAGTATTTTTACTACACAAAACAAGCATTAATGTTCATAACGAAATTTTTTTTTTCAAATTTTTGATTCAATCTAATTCATTTTTTTACTCCTGGAGTAAAATATTATTGCATTTTACACTCGAAACCATGAAGTTTAAGAAAATGGACGAAAATGAGACTACCAATCAATTGACAAAAAATGAATTGCTTGACTTGTTTCACTCCCTACGCAGGGACATATACAAGACTAAAAATAAGTTAGGGAAAGTAGAATAGATTATTTACGTGGGATCCATTTTGGGATTGAATGAAATTGAGCTCAACTTTATATAAGTCTTTCTTTCTTCAACTTTTTTTGCCGACTTGCATTTTTATTTCACCACTTGGTTTTTCTTCTCTCTTTCTCTCCTTTCAAGAAAGAGAAACCTGTCCGTTCACATCGCACCAATCAAATTTCTAAACTTGTCCCGTTTTGACAGGTAAGTGAGTATCGTTTACGAAAAAAAGTTGGAGCAATGGGTAGATTGGACAAAGAGAAAGTGAAAATTGAAACCCACATTTCTCAACCGTTAGGAAATGGGTAGTAGAGACTAGAGGATACTCATGTATGTACATTACATCGTTCATGCAAATATATGCACACCATTTTCTCGGAACTGTGATCCAACCACAATACAAACATTGTTGGACACAAATTTGAATAAAGCTTTCACTTTGTTCCGCTTTAATTTCTACGAAAAATGATGAGCAGCTTCATGCCACATGTTCATTAGTCGGATCAGACAAGAGAAAGCGAGAGGAAAAAGGTCCTATTTCGGTTGATTAAGTTTTCCCAAAAATTGGCTTGGCACACACGCACCATGTTGGCAAAGTTGAGTTGAGGCTGAAATTCATACTTGGACTATGAAAGTTACAAATGAAAATGAGTTTAATAACCGAGGTAGAAAACGGTCACGTTTCGCAACCATCCGGCCAACCGACAAAACCATCTCATCAGAAGCGTCTTCCTCATCAATCACCCCACGGACGGCGATTCTATTCACTTTCATTTTCTCTCATCCTCCTTGTTTTCCACGTTACGACACACACATTTATTTTTATCTGGTGCAGGACGGACACTCGAGGCGCGAGTGTCACAACAAGTAAATGAATTTAAGCAATCCTCTCCTCTCCACGAAATAACACGAGTTTAGAACAACGAATTTCACAATCTTCCAAGTCTGCAGAGACTTGGAAAGTAATAATGAATGGATCGAAGCCAGCTTTCCATTCGACTACATGCACAAATACTTACTTGCACAAAGGGGCAGAAAGCGCACATAAAGTCGGGAAGGTCCCATCGTTGAAGGAGAGCAGCCTGGAATTGGAACGGGATGGCGAAAAGTCCAATGATGATGTCAGCAAACGCGAGATTAGCAATGAACATGTTCGTCACAGTTCGCATCCTTCGTGACACCTGTTAATAAAAAGGAGGCCTCATTAAAGGAACGATTTCCTGGTAATAAGTCCATTAAAAAAAGTTACAAGACAATGATATCCTTATCTCTTTTCCTATCAATAGAACAAGTTTCGAGGAAGAAAATCTTGAAAGTGGAATGGGCACGAATTGCCCTAATTTTTCTACTCTTTGATCAATCATCACTCCTTCTAATTGACCGACAAACATTTACGTAGGAGGACAAAAGTTTCCCCGAGGTCATGTCTAATTGCTGGCAATACTTTTGTCCCGGGTAATGAAACCATTTAATTTTCCAGCACTTTAAAATTGATCTCTTCAAACTTTTCCACCCACTTTTGTCACGCCCTTCTTGTCGAGAGAGATGAAACTCTGCAATACGTTACAACCCTCCGCTGCTCGTGTAACTCAATAATGAACGCGTGGAAGGAAATGTGCTACAAGTCCTGAAAAAGTGAGGAGGCACTGATTTTTAATTCAATATTCACCCACTCAAGCATAAACCTTGTGTAAACTGGTGAAAAAGTCTGCCCGTAGTGGTAACGTTACGTTGTGTTTAACGGTTACTAAATGAATATTCTTCTCATCCCGTCGACAAAGTGTCTCATAATTATCTATTCGTACACATAATTTCGTAATGTGAATGACATAGCCAACCGATCTTGACTGAGTGCTGCGAAAGCCACGAGGGAATAACGCCAAATTACTCCTTTTGCTCGTATGAAAAGTTGACTAATTGGTGGGACCAAGAACCAACCATGTTTGAGTAGCAATAAAGAATTTTAAGAATTGCCAGAAAACTATGCGACGTCAAATTAATAGCAAATCAAACCGGGGAGCCAGTAGCACAGGCTAAGTTCCCACCATCCATTAAAAACTAATGACCAATATTATGTGAGACTATGCGTGTGGGAATTTCATCCGACTTGACAGCTAGAAGAGAGAGTCTGGCACTTTATCTACAACCGCAAAAAGAGAGACAGACATAATTTCTGCATATGCAAATTTTCAAGGTTGTAACACCGCATGATGACAAGCGTTTCTAATAAGTTTAAGAGATAAAAGGACAGCTGGAAAAGAAACCTTGATATCAGGTAACCACTCCACCAGCTCGTTTTTGGCCCTGGCACACCACACACTAAAATTTTGGAGAATGACTTCTCGACTTTTAAACATTTGACAGGTAAACGTACCGAGACGACCCAGAGGACGAGGATGTTTCCGATGAGGGCAGCCACCGAGATGGCCCCGTAGAGGAGGGAGAGGAGGACGACGATTGAGACGGGCACCTCGTACAGGGCCCCTTCATCATCGCCATTGTTGTACCCGTCCGTCCCATTGTTATTATTATGATGCCCCTCTGTCAAATTGGGAAACGAGGTTGAGAGCAGAGTCTCATTCATCACGAGCCTTTCTTCTTCCTCAGAGAGATTCATGTTGACAGGTCAGGATTCTGGTAGACTCAGTCAGCAGGATCATGTGTGTAAAAAATGGCAGAACGACGATATACTACGTACGACTGCTGGTACTACTAAAACTACTCTTTTTCGTGGAGAAAACACGTCAACAGCTTCAATGTTACTGCTAATACTCTCTCTCTCTTTTGCACGTTAGATTGCATACAATTCCTGCTCAATTTCAACTGTCAACTGCACACTTTCATTTTCACCATAAATTTTCCAGGTATGAGGTCGGCGGAGAAGCAGGACGAAGGAACGATTGTGTGTAAGTTACAGTTGTTGCAGGGAAATCTGGGTGAATGGGAAAATGATATAAACACTACTTATATTTTACTGCAGTGGAATTGTTGACAGTTTCTGGTGTGCTGGTGTCGTTTGAAATGCGTAAGAATTATGGATATATTTATATATCTTCCTAATAATAGTATAACCCTGATGAGAATAAGATGACTTTTAAAAAATTATCTCGTCAAGACTCGCTTTCAGTGAATTTTCTGGATAGGATAAATCCAAACAAATTTCGCAGTGTGACGCAACGTGCAAGAAACTTGAGAGAGTAAATGTCTCACATTGAACTTCATGAAACCAGTTCTAGAAACTTTCCAACACCGAAATGGAAAAATCTAAGTTCTAACACACACCATTTTTACAATTAGAAAAAAAGTCTGCTGGCTGCATATGCAACTAAAGTTTGTATCTAAGATGAGACGAGACGACAGGAACGACGACGGCTGGTGAGATGAATTCGGGTTCTTCTTGACTCTTGAGAAGAAGGGAAATTTGTTCGCAGGCAAACTTGCAGGCGAGAGGCTCAACTAGTTCTGAACCGGGTATCAACGGACTGGCTCCGGTGGAGCTGGTATCCTCGTCCAAGGTAAAAAGCGTTAGCTAGCGCTGAGCATTAGCCAAGTTCCACTACGAGCAATACGCAAGAACGCGAGAGAACAATAAACGGACGGTGGAAGTGGAAATATTCGCAATGTGCCTCACTCACTCTTCCATCCCTGCTCACATTATTCGCACTTCATCCTGCGCCTAAAGAAACACATGGACATTTACTCCTCCGATGGGATATTATTGCAAAACTGATCCGCATCACGTAGATGCATATGCACACACCAAGCTGAGGTTGGCTTGTTGACTCCTTCAGCATGGACGGTCTGTCTCGTCCCACTCGTTCTCATCAACTTTTATGGGCTTATCAATCATCCCTAAATCTTCATTTCATTGTGGGATAGTAGTAAAACCACACTTTCCATCTCACCCTATCTACTGACATCCTTTCCTATGTTTGACAGGAAATCAAGAAGAAGATGCACCTTGAGCTTAGCAAGTGGACTAAATTCTTGCTGGTTTGGTGAGATTCCTTCTCTTGCTGCTGAGTGGCTATAAATTGTCATCTGCTTACAATGAATCAAACCATTCCTCAAAGTTCCCAATTTTTCTCCTCTCTCTCTCTCTCGGGCTACGGAACATGGTGGGAAGAGTAGTAACGAATAAAAGGATCCCATTGATCTGATGTCATTTCCTGAACCAAGCAGAAATTGCTGCGGGATAAAACCTCCGGCTATTCATACACTTACTTCTCCACTTTTTGGCACGGTCAAAGTAGAGAAATCAGCAAAGTCGAGCAGCCGACAAAAAATACCGTGGAGGGATTTTCTGCTTTCTTTTCTCTTGGGCCACCTTCACAAGTCGGGTCCAATTTCCTCACTTGGTCACGGACATCGGCAAACGCAGCCTATGTACGTACGTAAATACTTGGCACACACACACATACACACACTGTTTTCCCTTCCTCTTGAATTCATCAACAAAATCGGACAATTTTTTTGGCTTGTTATTATCTAATTGAATACATTCCGTGGTGTGTATTAGTTTGATTTGAAATGTACGATAACAACAATAATATCCACAACATGTTATGTTCTGCATTCGTATTATCACACTTTCGCCCCCTCATTCACGTGCTTGTCCTTGCACCTGATCCAAGCAACAACCCACAGAAATACTAACTTTCACAATTACACTAACGATCCAACTAAATAACTGCAAGTTTGAAGGTTACTCGGGGGAAAAAGTTATAAAAATCTTATGGAACGCTACAACAGTGACGAGTCTCATTTATCATCATTCGTTGTTGTTGATTGATTGTGCAGAAATTTCATAAGTAAGAATTCCTACCAATTATGTATTGCATGATTGAAGAGGAAATTTGTGATTATTAGATAATGACACACATTAAGAGAAAGGGAATGCAAAATTAAGGACTATTTATAAAGTAAACGTTTTTGATAGGTACTTTTTCTGTGCGTCACTTTATTGTACGTTTTCTATGCCTCGTGCCTCGAAAGTTTCTATAAATTGAACAATTTGGGTACCTGTGCATTTGACTAGAAAAATAAGTAAAGTATTTGTAATACTTAACGAGCTTTTCCTACGTATTGTGTCGCCAACAACTTTGTCGGGTTTCTTTCAAAATTGACTTAAACCGCAATTTCAGATGAATAATTGATTTTTAAGTTGACGTATTAATGAATATAGTTTTCCCCTTTTATCACATCGACGGTTTGGATAAACGAACGATGCACTTGTATGTAGTCAAGGTCAACATGTGGAACGAGCTTTGGCGTTCCACCAGCAAAGTTTTTTTTCATTCCGTCTTCAACTTTTCACCAAAAAGTACTACGCGGATAATTGGGAATCCTTTGTTTGCCTGGTGCATGAAGATCAAGCCTGACACGATACTTATTACCCCCACCAGGAGAGCATCCATCTTCATCTTGAGAAGACCTGTAGTACAACACAAGTATTCCAACCACAGTTGAGTAGATGCATGTATCTAAACTTGGACCTATCCGTTTAAAGTTTAAACTGGTGGCGAAAAGGCATTTCACTCTTGCTCTTCTGACTACCTACCCAAATTACGGTGGTCGGTTTGGCATTAAATTGTCATACCACTACTGACTTTGGGTCGAGCTGCTGTTTAGCCTAAGTTTGGATACCTTTACATGTGTCTCGTGAGAATCCGAAATCTTCATGGTCTTGATAAATGAATAAATCTGTGGCGCCCATCCTGGATATAGATTGGTTGCAGACGGGTTTAATTTCCGTCGCGCTTGCGGGACCAAATAAATTGCAGGCATCAGCTATTTATTTACAACCAGACGAAGAGCAGTACTCTGGTTGAGACTGGTTACAACGAATAAGAACTTTACTACCAAAATAGGCCTGCGTACGTAAGTACAAGTTTAGTAGTGGACAAAATATTTGCAACACAAAGTATGCATGTATGGAGTAAATAGTGTAGAAAAAGTTAATAAAAGTGGTGGCTTTAAAATGCTATCAAGAACATTTACTTACAAGTTAGTCCTTAAATTTTCATGCAATTTCACTTAATGTGTGGCATTATCTAATAATCACAAATTTCCTCTTCAATCATCAAAATACATAAATTGACAGGAATTCCTACATACTTCAACATGCTATGCTACTACTAAATGCGTGCATATTTGTAAATGCCCACGCCTTCTTCTTGTGTCATATGCACAGGTTAGTTATTTGGTCGTTAAGAGACCTCGTCGACATCCTTTCACCTCCTGCTCGGTAAACATGATGATGTTACAAATGACTCAGAAATTCCTCAATCTCGGGACGAGAGGCACTTTCCTCCTCGTCCCAAACAATTATTGGAACACGTGCCGCAATTAATCAATGTTGACGCAGAGGGGGAATTGTGCCCAAGTCCTCCGAACATGTTTATTCATACCATCAAGGAAAAGAAGTTGTTAAGAATTCGGATTGTCCGTCGTCCAAATCCTCGAAATAGTTTATGCGTACATACAATATCCATCCATCTTGTTGTACATAAAGTTGCAATGCAACTCATCCATTATTCAAGGAGGAGATGTCCTCGCTCAGTGTAGCCGTACTTATTTCCATATTCCTCTTTCGGAGTTTGGGCGATCGTTCTTTGCTTAATAATAATAAAATCTTCCTTTGGCTGCATTACCGATTATTCGTTTCCAACATTGTCCACAATCACCATTTTTGCTGATGGAATAAGATTCTGCTCAATTTCGTCTGTTATTGTCAGCCGATTTCTCACGATTGTAGAATTTTAAACAGGGATTTTCTTTTCAATTTAAGATGAGAATCTGGCACAACTTTTTGTGACATCTTTTCAAATTTGCAAGCCGTTCAAGAACTCTTGTGCCCGGAAAAGTACGAGTTGGTGAACTGGAAAGAAGGAGCACAACCATAACAAACATTTCACCAGAACCACTTGAGACCTATGAATGCTGTGTTTACAAGCGGCGGACACAAAGAAATAAGCCTGATCATTCCAATTTGAAGACCACATTAGACAATATTTTCCATTTCCTCCTCCACCTCGTATATGTCGTCACAATCTGTGCTCTTGCTAAATAATAATATGCACGTGTGCCTTTTGTTGTGCGGATAAATTCCTGAAATGCCTTGTTCCCAATTTTAGCGTGGGAAATGACTGGCAGCAGCGGCGGATATCCTTATAAACTCCACGCACCAAAATTCGCCATGATATACCCATTTCATTTCGCCATCGTCCACAAAAGTCATCAGGCCTCAAAGAAGTACAAGGCGTTTAATTTAAAACCCGTGTTTCGGTCGTGGGTGGATTGTGGTTCTTGCTTCAGCTCAAAGTCAATGCTTTCTCTCAGGATCAGCGGTGATATTGGTGGTGGTGGTGCTAGTGGATGGACGTTAATTTGCCAGGGGCTCGGTCCTCCCCGAGACTTCAGTTGAGCTGATTTCCTGTCAATTCTGTTGTTCCAATCTCGAAATGAAATGATAAAAGTACAAAGGATTTGACCCTTCCACTCTCCTCCAAATGTCATGTGAGATAGTCTCCGGGTGACATTTTTTAGCCCTGCCATTAAGCACTTTGTTCAATTGATCCAATATGAATGTTGTTCCGCAATATCGTAATCATCCTGACAGACAAAGATCCATATCGAGTTCCTACGTATGTAAGTTCCTAGTATGTTGCTATGTTCACATGGGTCATGGCGTCACCACCATTCTACACCTGCCTTTGGTCATGTGATGCCAAAAGCAGATATATATTTGAGAAGCGTGTAAAAACAGAAGCTGACCCTACGACGCAGAAATTTATTGGCGACTTGTCGTGTCTATTACTTCAAAACACTTTTCGAAATTAAAATTAACTTGAGACTACTTGAAACCTGACCACAATCCCCGGAGGTCGTTTTCCAATGTCAAAAAATAGGATCACAAAGCGTGTGCAATTAATGTATTAAACCTTTCAAATCCTTTACATTTTTCCCCAATTCGACTTATTTCTCTGCAGTTCAGACATTTTGCAAGTTTGAAATACTTTTGTAATTGAAAAATTGCGAAAGTTCATTTCATTTTCTTCTTCACAATGCAAGTATTTCAACTATTTAAGAAGTAAACAACTATTTTCGGAGAAAAAACTATTGACATTTTCTAATTATGAGTGGCAAACTAGAGTAATTATGTTACACATTTCATATTAGGAAACCTTTCATGGATCAAAAAGAGCATAATTCTCGTTCGGGAGGTAGAGAAAGACGCAAACAACTCGTGCAGCAGGAGCAGCAATATAAATCTACACGGAGCAAGAAAAGCCACTCAGGATCAGTCTAAGAATTGTATAAGCAAACAAAAAAGTTGGAATCACTTGGGGGGCTTGAATATTTGATTAGCTGGATCATTTGGATAAAACATAGAAGTTTGGTTCCACTCCTTGTCCAACATGCTTTAGAGGAATATGTCCTCAAAAATTTTGCCACCATCACGTAACAAACAGAACCAACTGCACCACCTGAATTACATAAGGTGCGTGTGTATCTCCAAAACTTTGTGGAAAGAATATTAGCACGTTTCTCAATTTCTTCAACTTTGTGACGCGTGGCAAGTCATAAAACGTATTTACTTTTTGCAGTGTAAAGCCTACATAAGCCACTGAGGAGCATCTGGGTGTGGAGAAAGTGTGACGATATTAAGCTGACCATTTTCCAGGCTATGCTACCATGTAAGCATTCGTACGAAAGAAAGTCCTCATTAAGGATAATCTGTCCCGTCCAAAGTTATAAACTTTTTGGACAACTA